TACCTTACAGTATATTCTGTGAAGCGCCTAGAGATGTCCTAAATGTAGGCGCTATATCAAACGTAAGAGCTATTATTATTAATATTATTATATGTAACCCGGCTGGAAATCAATGCACAGTGGACTCCGATGTAATCATTGAAACACTCAAGGTTACATTTCCCTTCCAGAGGTTAGCGATGCTGAAGAAACAAGGCGCATCTCTCTTCTTTATGCTCAGCTCTCAAAAAGGCACGGTGCGACACAGATCTTTTGAACATCTTGTGAAAAATGCTTGCTCTATTTCTGAGAGAAATTGCAGAGTTCTCTCCCTCTTCCCCCCCTCCTCTCTCTCTCTCTCTCTCTAGTGGATCCTTTTCATTGTGTTAGGGCTCAAGAGCCCATGCAAACCAGCCAGGCGGAATTGCTGGGCTCATTCCATTTTTGAGGTCAGTCATAAAGGGACGCTGTCTACTTAAAAGAAACCTGCTTTCCTGAACTTTCAATGAGTTTGCAGTAAGAGTCCCCCAGAGGGCTGTTCCTGTTTTCAAAGTGCCCGCATTGAACACCAATTTTACTCTGTCTAAGTCACAGCACTAACGGTGCAATGGATAATAGCTGTCTGGATCCTTTACAAATGAGAGGTTTGTCAATACCCAAGGTGGTCATTCTTGTTTTTCTGATTATTTTTAGCATAGTCTCTCGGAGTAAAACACAGCGGGAGAGAGGATTTAAACAGATGAGCTTTTAGTGAGAGCGGGGAAGTAAGGATTTGGGAGAAATATTCAGACAGAGTTCTGTAACTGTGATTTCCCCACTAGTGGTTGGTGGATTCTTGCTTGTCCTGTGTGTTTGCACACCTTATTCTGACCGTTAGTTTCTTTTAAGTTCAACATCTTCACTCAATGTTGAGATATTGCAGGTTATGCAATACACAGTACATAAAGCATGCAGTTGTTCTTAATGTTTGTTACTTTACTCACACATTTGCCCTAAGATTTTCCAACTGGTACAATCCATATTATGCAATCACCCACATCTCTGCACAAGAAACCAACTCTCACCTTGGATCTTAACTATGTATTTGTCAGTGGGACGCAGCAGCCAATCGCACAAAACAGTGATCCATAAACAGTCGTGGATTGAGTGAGCAATTTTTTTGGGGAGGTTTTACGCGATCCAACAACCGGTTAACAACTGTTACAAAATATGTAACATGGTGCAAATTTGTGGAAAATTCTGAGCTCTGGTCTTAATTTGGAAACTGATTTTCTCCAGTTCTCAGAAAGACCTGAGGAAAAACGTTTTCCAAATTGAGACTGAATTTAAGAATTTTCCAAAATTCTGTGCAATCTTAAACCTAAAGGCAATGGTCTTCAGGCCAAGAGCAGATGGAATTTTAGGCCTCAGGACTGTATGGTGTTGAGCATCACAGACTGGAATCAATAAGTGAGCATTAGGGCACTAAGGCACTAAGGTTTCTATTTTGTAATGGATCATTGGGTATGGGGAACATGGTGTTCATGTCACATTGATCACTAAATATAGGGAATATTCTCCCTACTTCTTTACAACAACAACAAGATTACATTAGTATAGCGCCTTTCACGTCGGGAGGACGTCCCAAGGCGCTGGCCAGTATACAGCATTTCAGACCTGAGCTGGGGTCAGGGGGGGAGAAGGGAGGGGAGGGGTGTGGCCGATGGCATGGTCGAAGAGGAGGGTCTTGAGGTGGGACTTGAAGGATATTTACAATGGGATAAGATGGCTATTCTTAGCAATAAGAATATGTTGCCTCCCAGGAATACTTGGGCTGCCAATGCTCAGATATTCTAAATCCCTTTTCATAGCTGATTCTCTGGGAGATTTCACTTCACTACTTAATATTATCTCACATTTTTGCATTGGAAACACATTTGGAAAATAAGCATTAGTTTGTAACATTTGCAAATGAAACCATTTGGTAGGACCCAATTTGTTCTGTAACCTCACTGAGCGAGGGTGGGTGGACGGTGGAATCGGGATTTGATTCACAACTCCCGAAACAAGACCAATTTATCGGCACCTATGGTTAAAAGATTGACATGAAGCAGGTTACAGGTTATTTATCTGTAACCTTGTACTGAGTCGATCTGGTTGGTGAGGCATTCGAGTTGCAGAGAGGCTGAACACAGAGGGAGATAGAGAAAAAAAAGACATTGTCACTCTTAATGTCATCTATGAGCCTTTTCAACTGAACATCTCTCAATAATCCCAGTGAATCACAGACCAACGGACTGGTCATTCAGATAACACTGGGAAGGAAGCTAAAGTGCCAAGAGGAAAGCGGAGGGCATAGCTCTGACTCTGCTTGTACCTGGAGCCAGTTCCTCTATGATGGAGAAATTATCATGGTGATGATCTTATAGCCCCCCAATGCCAAACCCCTCCAACGCCGCTACATCAATCGCAAGGACTTATTATCATTAATTCCAATCCCATGGAAGAAAGATCTGTCTCAGGGAGTGGAGAAAGGGTTGGAAATATTCTCTTTCAGTTGTTACTTGCTACAAATGGGGTACTGGTGGAAGAGTGTGGCATTGGAATTAAAAGATCTGCCGAGATCTAATAAACTAGTAGAACAGGCTCGGTGGAAATGAACAGCCTCCTCTTGTTCTTGATTTCCTGCGTCTCTGCTAATGTTACTTTTCTGACAGATGTACCCAACGCAGAATTACTGTCTCTTTCACTTGTTAAAGTGACGCATTAGCCAAGCCTATGTGTGAATCTGTTGTAAACGGGGGAGAAATGAAAAATGTCGATGAACTGTAACCAATGTCTGTCTGCCGCCATCCATTTAATCACAATTTCTTTTAGTATCCGTTGCCTACATAACATTACCCGTTCACTGTTCACCGTGTGTGTGCCATTAACTCTCATGTCTCTTTGCAAGGCCTCATCCATCTCCTTAAGTTGGTTTCCTTGTTTTCAATTGCGAGTATTGCTTTTTTTTGACTGATGCTGTGTTCGGTTGCCTTTCCCCACTGCGCAAACGAAAAACTCTTTTCTTCTTTTGTCATTTCGATCAAAAAAAAAACAAAACCCAAGCAGAGACAGTCATAATCCGCAGTCTCAGGCTGCAGGAAAAGTACCCATAACAATGACATGGAGAAAACAGTCCAGTGAGTAAGTTCCGTCAACTAGAAGTTAAAAGTGTGATCTGATGGCGTCATGTAACAAGCTCTACGATGGTTGCATGACAATGCCGTCAAGTTTCGTGGAGGTGGCGTGAAGCATTATTCGTGAATGTTGTATCGGTTGATGACTGCCCAGTCATTTTCACATGTGCCTTTTGAACTGTGTGCTGACACTGTTGTTGTTTTTTTTGCTGTGCTCATTTTAGTTTGGCGGCTTGCGACTGGTTCCTTTAAGAATTAATTATTATTAATGATTAATTTACAGTTTTGAGTTCTGTTTAGTCCTGTCAGCTGTTTTTTGTTTTTTAATTGATTTCCCCGCTTCTTTAGATGTCACATGAAACATTGAATTTTCAATCCTTTTTTTTAATTATAAATATATATGTGTATATATATATAAAAAACACAGGTTTACTGTTATCAAAGATGTGTGGTTGATTTCTTTGCACTGATAATATTGTGATTTTTTTTTCTTTCGTTGATTTTTTGAAGTAGGGGGCCTTTTTCATTTGAAAGCCTCTCGTAGGATCATAAGCATAAAGAAAATCTTAGTGGCTCCATTAACCGATGCTGGCTGTCACAGACCCAAACTTGCCAAACCAGAACAAACACAAATGGCCAGCACGGGCCTTTAGAATTCCAGCAATTTCAGATTCATTTTCAGTAGTATGTAAAAACATGCAGAGGAAGAAGTGCTTTTATTGTGCAACTGAAAAAGGGTCCTTTGAAATTGGTTGTTGTTTTTTTTGCTGTTGTAATTGTTGGATAGCTGTGTACGGTTTGCTCTTTGTTTAACCAACAGTGTGGGGAACCTGCCAGCATGGATTGGTATTCCGCATGACACTTCCACTAGAGTGGACTGTTACAGTGGTAGTTTCTTGTGATATAACTGTAAGCGGAATCTGACTTGCTAGCTGTAGACAGAACTGCTGTGAAATCTTTTATTATTTTACTTGTTTTAAAACAAAATCTGATTATTATTAATCATTACCTCTAATATTTATCATAGCCTTGTAACTTTTTTTTATATATGTCTGTAAAATATGCGTAATGCAGATTCTTAAAGAGACAGTATCCCTATTTTTTGTGGTCAGCTAAGACTTAGCCAGTCACTGGCTAACACTTTAGAATGTACCTTTTCACATACTCCAGCCTTCTCAAATACGCTATGCCATTTCTATAGAGCTGATTTTGTTCCTTTGAAAAAAATATAATGATTTGGTCACTCAATCCACGACTGTTTGTGGGACACTGCTGTGCGCAATTGGCTGCTGGGTTTCTCCCACAAAATATAAGTATATCCTGTGAAGCGCCTTAAGACTCTCAAAGACCTGATAAGGCGCTATATCAAATCCAAGGATTATTATTATACTTTAAATATTTAAATCTATTATTTTCCCTCAAATTACAATTGGCTCACAACAATGAACTTGCCTTTCTCCTCGAGGCAGACTACAGGTCCATTCACATTTGCACACTATCTCGCTCCCTGAATTCAAAGTACAGCCTCCACAACTTTCCTTTCCACCCATGTAGATCTTGGCCAGTCAGGGTCACATTACCCCAAAGGCAGCGATCACCGTTCTCTTTGGAGACTGATCTCACACATTCAAACCCCAACAATTCAGACATTAAAGCACTCACTTTTGAGAAGGCTGGAGGGTCACGAGAAGTGAGTTGTGCAGGGTGTAACGAGCGTATTGTATTAAAGGTAGAGAGAGAGAGAAAAAAAAGCAGGGTGCTGTTTCTTTGGATGACAGGTAAATTAAACCTGTCTTGGTGTAGCTCTTTCCCTGACTTTACGAGGATCTGTCTGATGCGAGCTATCTTGCCTTTCCTTTGCAGGGCGGACACTGGAGAGGACCCCATGTACAATACAATAATAAAAGTACTGTTAAAATAAACCTTTGGACATATCAGCATACGCCAATCAAGCTGAAGACTTCTTCAGACTTTTAACCTTGACTGCTCTGATTGTTTAGACTGTTGAGTCTCTTCGGAAAAAAAATGTATGACTTCTGCTGAAGGATGGTGTTTTGAACGGCTGAAAGGAGATAACACAAAAGATGTCAGGAGCTTGTAGAGCAACGAGTTGGCTTTCAGAAACATTTGAACAGGATTTAATAAGGAGTGCCTGTTATTATCATGGATACAGTTGCAATGGGCGCACATGGTAAACAGCCACTAAGAATCTTACCTGTCATTCCTTAGGTATTTAGGGACCAAAAAGACCAAACTTTTTATTGCAGACTTGTAGTGGTATGTAAATTATGGATTTCCGTCCTTCTCTCGCTGTTCCTATAACAGTCCGAAGAGTTTATCTTGAATTGTAAAAAAAAAAGTAATAATATTAATGATGATAATACTTAAACTGCTTTCAAATAAGCAAGATTGTAGCTCTTTGATACTTCAAGAGGCACTTTGGTATCATTAATTCAAGTAAGTAGTTTTCATATGGTTTACTGTTAACTTTTGTGAAGAGGGAGCGTTTCAGATTGGCTTAAATTGTGGGGGAAGCAAACAAAAACTTACTTACTGATGAGAGAAGGAGAGAGAAAGAGAGAGAAAGAGGACTATTTTGGAAATAGGATTATTGCTTGGAAATGGTTCATTGTGTTGAGGATACCCTTCCCTTCGAGATAAAAGCAAAATAAATAAATCAATAGTTGTACAGAATTTAAAAAAAACTTTTAAATTACCGGTATAAAAATAATAAAAAAAATTAGACATAAAATGCAAAAAAAAACACAATAGAGGTTAGCGTAACTGCTAAAAAAAAATCCTGTAGAATTGTAATTTTGTAGAATTTAGACAAGCATAAGTTCATATACTGCCAACTGCTAATCTATCTGATGCGGTCTGAATTGGGATCAGATGCATTACACTGGCAGATCTTTGACTGCAATCATTCCAGCTATATATATAAAAAAAAGTTTTAAAAAAAATTTACAAAGCAAAAAAAAATAAAAAAAAACACAACAAAAAAAATTCCTGAAAACTATTGTAAACATTGCAGCAAAAATCGTGGACACGAGTCTCCAGCAAAAAAACAATAACACCACCACCTATAACAGACGAACCTGGAGTAGATGCAAGGTTTGTTTGGCTTTAAACATCACCCAAGATGTGCTCTGAGCAACTCTTAGCAAAATTTCATCCATAATACTCTCTCAAGTTAATGATAAAAAATACTCTTTGCAAACAAAATAATAAACCCCGCAGGGACAGAGCAAACAGAAGCAAAAGTAGCCCTGACTCCTGGGAATGGTTAATGAACATCATATCAATACTGTACTTAACAGAAATTTAAAAAAATACTAATAATAATACGAGGGAGAGAATCTCTGCTGTTTACAGGAAGTGTAACAAAAACAGAGAATGTTTAAAAGGTTCTGTCTCTGTTTCATGTAAATAAATTTGCATATTTTGTAGGAATTTTACTGAACTGACTGAGAAAAAAAAAGGAAACTATTTAAAATGAAAGCACGGGATTTATCTTTGGTAACTGAATTAACAGAGCAGTTGAGAGGGAGCATAAAAAAAAACAAATCCACTGTGTTAATCGCCGTCAAATCTGGAACTGAATTTTTTTATTTATTTACTTATTTATTATGCTTATTTATTGTATGTATTTTTAGGAGGTTATCCGCCCTTATTTAATTTATAAATGCCAGCGGAGTGACTGGCCTCTCTCTCCCTTGCTTCGTTGACTTTTTTTTAAATAAAACAATGAAAAAAAAAGTTTCATTTGAACATTTTTTCCCTGGCCCCAAAAAACAACTCCACTTTTGTTTTTCTAATTTATCGCCCAGAATTTTGGCTTCCGTTCTATTTTTTACTGACAAACAAAAATGAAAAGAGCTGTATGCCTACTACCAGAGTGGGATATAGTCATTTAAGACTGACTGCTCTCTTCACTCTCAATTACCAGAAAAACATTGTAATCTTCATGTAAGTACTGGATGACGCTTTTCAGCTTAGCCCTAAATAAAGCACAGTTTATGAAAAAAAACACGGCTTGGTTTCTTATTGGACCTGTTGGGAAGACGGTAGGGATGGGTTTTCAGGAAGGATGAGGTAAGATGTACCGAAGTAGACGTCCTCGTCCAAAGTGATTCTGTGATCTTTCTGCTGGCGGAGAGCACCGTTCAACCTTGTGAAGTTGCACTCACTGTAGACGGGCTATAGAAACCCACAGCGCTGCTGTATTCTGCAATAAGCCGCAGAAAGCTAGCGAGCTTCTAATCTGCCCGTCTGTCTGCCTTGGTTCATTACAACAACAACAACTTGTATTTATACAGCATCACTCATGCAGGGTAGCATCCCAGAGCGCTTGACTGTGGTGGAGCACGGCGCTGAGCCAGAGGGCGGGGGGGAGGGTGACTGTAAGCACAGTCGAAAAGAAAAGTCTTCTGGCGCAAGCTGGAAATGGGGTAGGAAGGGGCAAGACGGAGGAATTAAGGGAGAGTGTTTCGGGTTTCAAGACATAATACTCATTGTTATTGATCTATACAGTCTGTAAAACATAGCATAATAATGATAATAATAATAATAATCCTTGCATTTGATATAGCGCTTTTCACATCTTCTCGACGTCTCAAAGCACAAAGCACACAGTCGCTACACTTCACAGTGAAACCCTATGAACCCATCTTGACTACACAATCAGGTGCCAAGGCACATGCGGGGATTGTTATTATTAAAAAAAAGTTTAGGAACATAGGTACATTCAGGAACGGAAAGGGATCTTTACAAACCAGCTGACCGCAAAGTTAAAGAAAAAATCACTTAAAAACAAATCAGCATCTCACACAGCTCCTGCTCTCGTACCCTTTGATTGCAAATCTTTGCCAGATACTTCTGTAATTCCCTCTTGAATCTACTGCCAGAATTGACCTTCCACAAGCTCCCTGAGTAGCCTGTTCCACATACAGTATTTGCTACTCTGCTTAAAGTAATTACATCTGAGCTGCCTGTCCTTCTGAGCCCAATTCCATGTCCCTTCTGTACTAGGGACTCAGTGAAAATAGTCCAGGTGTGCGAGCAGTGAATTCAGAAGACAAACAATCAGATGGAAGCGATAGGAATCTAGTGAGGACTAGTGTGATGGGAGTACGGAGTTTAGAGGGGATGAGTATACAGGCAGCAGAGTTCTGAATATGTTTGGGGATAGTGGAGCTGGGGAGACCGGTGAGGAATGCATCCACATACAGTGACAAACAATAAGCCTTGCATTCACTCCCATCCTCGCCTGGCTCCACATCCCCCAGAGGATTGAATTCAAGATCCTCATCCTTTAAATCCCTCCATTGTCTTGCCTCACCCTATCTCTGCAATCTCCTCAAACTCTAACCAAGCAGGTCTCTCCCTCTGCTCAGTGGGCACCAGCCTGTTTAATTTCCCTCGTCCCACCCACTATCAGTGGTCGGCCTATCAGCATATCTGCCCCCACTCCCTGGAACTCGATCCCGTAGTCCATTAATAATAATAGTCCTTGCATTTGATATAGCGCTTTTCACATCTTCTAGATGTCTCAAAGCCCTTCACAGAATATACTGTAAAGTGAATTGACTATATATTTTGTGGGCCAATTGCGCACAGCAGTGTCCTTCAAACAGTTGTGGATTGAAGTGACTAATTTATTATTGTTTTTTTTTTGAGGGATTATTATCAGGCGTGTGGAGTAAGGAAATTTGCCCAAGATTTTGCTCTGCTGGGAATTGAACCCAGGTCTCTCGCTCGCAAGGCGAGCGCTCTAACCACTGAGCTACAGGACTCCAACTCACCCCTTCCACTCGCCCTGTCTCTTGCCTCCTTCAAGGTCCACCTCAAGACCTTCCTTTTAACTGCATTTTTTGGTCATCTTTCCTTCACTCCCCCCTCCACCCCCCGTCCCATTGGCCCCAATCCCCAGGTCGAGTGCAAACCCTGGACTGTCCAGCACATTGGGATGGCCTCCTGTTGTGAGAAGCACTGTACAAATTTGATTTGGTATTGTATTGTGTATAGTGCCTGTCTTGTTAGGAGGATGTCTCAAAGCGCTGCACAAGTGTGATGACTGTGTGCTTTGAAGGTGAACAGGAATTCAAATTCATAACACTACAAGCAAGTCTCTGAGCTGTAACCCAACACAATGCAAGTTATATTTTATATATAGTGCCTTTCGTGTCGGAAGGACATCTCAAAGGGCTTGACAATGCTGGATGGGCATCTAAACTGGGGGTGGGATCCGAGGGAGGTAGGGAGGGGAGAAAGTGACCAAAAGTACGTTTTGAGACGTGCCTTGCACAAGGTGTGGGTGGGTGGGAGGGAGGGAGGGAGAGAGGGAGGGAGCAAACATTCAAAATGTACCCAAAAACATAGATCAATATAGTGAATCTTCTCTCTCACCGCCACCGATCCCCCATCGCCCCACCCCCTGGAGTAAATCATTTGTAACCTCCATTCTCACACCACACTGCCCCCTCCCTGCTCCATCCAAAATCAAGTCTTCCTCCATTCATGAAGCAAGTTGTTATTTAATCTTCCCACTTGTAAAACCTGCTGCATTGATTCATCGCTGCAAATCTTAAAAGAGTCCTTCATCCAGAATCCACTGACTAGGCTGTGGAATTAGCCCCCACCTCCCCCTCCGAGAGACTTTCTTACACAATAAATCCACCTCTGGATTGTGAAATCATTTCGCCAGTGGGAGACTTCAATCAGGAATTAACTCACAGGACAGGATTTATTTTCTAATAAACCAATCGGAAGTTGATTCTGCCACCAGCCACTCTGAACCACACCGTGAGGGGCTCTGAACACACCGTGAGGGGCTCTCAACCATACTGTGAGGGGCTCTCAACCACACTTGGAGGGGCTCTCATCCACATTGCAAAGGGCTATCAATGACATCAACAACAACTTGCATTTATATAGTGCCCTTCACATGGGGCAACGTCTCGGAGCTCTTAACAGTGGCGGAGCCTGACGCCAAGCCGGGGGGAAGAAGGAGGTGATGGTAAGCACTATCAAAGAGGAAGGTCTTCAGTCGTGATGGAAAAGAGGGGAAGGAGGGGCCAAGGTGGAGGGATTGAGGGAGAGAATTCCAAAGCCTTTGAACAACAACAACAATATAGCAGTTACGTAGTGCCCTTCACACAGTGTAGCGTCCCAGAGCGCTGTCAGCCACACTGTGAGGGGTTGTCAGCCACACTGTGAGGGGCTGTCAGCCACACTGTGAGGGGCTGTCAGCCACATTGTGAGGGGCTGTCAGCCACACTGTGAGGGGCTGTCAGCCACACTGTGAGGAGCTCTCAACCACACTGTGAGGGGCTCTGAAACAAGCGAAAGTGGAGCAATGGAGAAAATAATCAAACGTGCTGTACAATCAATGTGAACCACCAGCCAAACCCAATGGTGTAATAGAGTACAGACAAGTGGGAGAGTGGAAGCTAATGCCACTACACAATGAGGTGGACTGAGCACACAGTGCAAGGCAGTTGAACACCACAGTACAATCCCTGGAAGCACACAGTAACAATCTAAGTAATTGTGCAGCACAAGGTAAATTAACTACACAGTACAAATCAATCTGAGCACAACAAGGGCCCAGATAAAAACCACAGTCGTACAAAAGCAGAGTGGTGGGTGGTGGGGCGAGGGGCTCGTATACGCCATGAATTATAGGTAATAA